AGGGGGAGCAGGAAGGATGAGGAAAACAACGACGAGAGGGCGAGGAGGATCAGGAGGCGGAAAAAGACGAAGGGACGGGGGTAATAATAACATTGGGATTGGGCGTGTTATGATTGGGAATTGGGGCGTGAGATCGCAATGAAACGGAGAGCCCCCAACCAGGAAATCGGTTTCGGTTTCGTGTTCGTGTCGTGCGTGCGAGGCGAAACTGCGCGGGCGGGCGGGAATACTTAACCAGCCGTTGCTAAGGCGAAACCAAGCTCAATGATTCTCCTCCCCTGGTTGGCAAACGGTGGCTCGGGGGTGTGCCGCCGCTGTCCTGGGGTGTTCCGTGGCGCGGTGTCCCGTGGTGTCCCGTGGTGTCCCGTGAGGTCGATAATGCGATTGACTGGGTGAGATCGACAGTGAAATCGGTAGTGAGATCGATAGCTAGATCGATCGACAAACCGACAGTGATATGAATCGTGAGATCGATAGTGAGGTCGATTGCGGGATCGATGGGTAGAGACTGATAGGTAAGGGGAGATCGATAACGAGATCGACTTGGGGGCCTCTGGGGGCCTCCTGGGGGCCTCCTGGGGCCGAGGGCCCTAAAAGTCCGATCGGATCCCCCGTCTGGGCCCCTTCTTGGAGCCGTCTCGGGACCCTCTTGGGCCGTCTTGGAGGCCTCTTGGGCCGTCTTGGGGTCCTCTTGGGCCGTCTGGGGGCCGTCTCGAGGGCCTCTTCGGCCGTCTTGGGGCGATCTTGGGGGCCTCTTGGGCCGTCTTGGAGCGCCGGGAAGCCGAAAAGGCGAGAACCCAAACAACCTTCAATAACCATTGAAAAACCAACAACTGTTGCATCTTAGGGTCCTCTTGGGGAGCCTCTTGGAGTCCTCTTGGGGCGTTTTCGAAGCCTCTAGGGCCGTCTTGGGACCCTCTTGGGCGTCTCTTTGGCCGTCTCGGGGCCCTCTTGGAACATCTTGGGGGCCTCCTGGGGCCGTCTTGGAGGCCTCTTGGGCCGTCTTGAGGCCCTTGGAGGCCCTGGGGACGGGGTATTAGAAAGTGTACATAGAGAGCGAGATCAACACCAAAATCGATAGAGAAATCGATCGTGAGATCGATAGTGAGGTCGATTATGATATCAATCGGTCGTGAGATCGATAGATGCAAAGAGATCAGACATGATATCGATACTATATGGGCAACAAATCGATAATGATATCGTAGGGTCGATCGTGGGGCGACAATTAAACCGGTACTGAGATCGACGGCGAGATCGATGATAATGGGATCGATCGATCGATGGAGATCGACATCAGGGTCCATGTTTTCCGTGGTGCCTCGTGGTGTGTCGTGGTACCCTGTGGCCTTGTATGTTCCTAACGCGTTCTCCTTAGAGGAAAGAGCGCCTGGGCAAATAAATGCCACTTGTTCCGCTGGTTGTGCAAATGCTGTTTGATAGGTATCCCGAACGATAGACAGATGACCAAACATATTGCACTGTATATTCGTAGCATGTCCTCAATAAAAGAAGTACCAGACAAATTCTAGACGCTTCGCGTATCCCCACCAGCCCGTCCAGAAACGACGCCCAGGCGAGTAGAGGGTCGTCCTGAGGGGCTTTTCGGCGTCTTGGGTGCCTCGGGGGGGCCTCTGTGGGCCGTTCGGGATCCTCTTTGGGGCCTCCTGGGGGCCTCTTGGGGCCTCTTGGGGCCATCTTGGGGCCTTTGGGGGCCTCCTGGGCGCTTCTTGGGGCCTCCTGGGCGCTTCTTGGGTGCCTCTGGGGGGTCTCTTGGGGCCTCTTGGGGGTCTCTTGGGGGCCTCCTGGGGGCCTCTTGGGGGGCCTCGGAGCCATCTTGGAGGAGATCGATCAACGAAGGGGGGGTCCCTAATTACAGTCCCCCCCTCAGGAGCCACGATCCTCGTGAGGGGTGTCGAATTTTAGCCCTCCCAGGGGTCGATCTTGGGCGCTCCAACGCGCCGCGGAACCCCCTGTCCAGGTCAGTGGGGAGGGGGTAGGGGGAGGGGTAAACCCCTCCCCGAAGGGGAAGAAGGAGGGGTGGAAGAGGAAACGCTCTAAACCACCGACGCCCAGAGGGCTGGTGGGATTATTGCCACCTAGTGGTGTCGATGGTGAGATCGATTGTAGTGTCCCGTGGTTTCGCGTGGTGCCCCGTGGTCTTGCTTATTCTTACGATGTTTTCCTCAAGGAACGCACGCGCGGACAAACATTCCCCACGTGCGATCGATGGTGGGATCGAAGGCGAGAGAGGTAGCGAGATCGATACACTGGTCGATACACAGACTGAGAGTGATATCCAAACTGAGATCGATCATGGGATCCACCGTGAGGTCGATAGCGGTGTTCTGTGGCGCCCCGTGGTCTCGTGGTGCCCCGTGGTCTTCGCGCGTCGTCATCACGCATCGTCGCCGACTCGTCGTCACCACCACTGTCACCATCACAGCCACTGCAATTGTCTTCAACTGCCCCCCGTCCCCCACCCCACAACCTCCTTATCACCCGAAGGGTGGTCGTATAGGTGTAGGATGGTACGGTATGGTATGATATGACATGGTATGATGATGAAACGACCCCAATACGGCTCTTCAGCAGAATAAAAATAATGACCGGGAAACAAGCATCCGATAACTCAACTGCTCGCCACCAGGGAAGGAGTTCAGCTGCAAGGTCCCATACGACTTGTCCGTCGTGGGGGCCTTTCGGGTTAAATCGGTTCTACCACCCTGGCTGGCGTCACCTGTGCAACCTGCTGCTTGCAGATATTAGCAACGTTTTGCTCGAGACCGAGTTTGGACTCACCCAAACTCGCCTTTGGAGTGTAATCCAATCGTGGCTCCTCTCGCGCATAGCCGTGCATCCATCGACGCCTCGTGGCGCGCTTGCTTGAATGATGACAGTGCGCACATGGGAAATGTATTTCCTTCATTCCCTACCTAGGCTCTGCCTAGAAGGGTTCTTACTCGGTGTTCTTAAAAAGGGCCGGGCAGTGGTCCCCGCCCCGGGCGGTTCCCCCAGTATCCGCCCCGCGGTTCCCCCAGCGACGCCCCCTTAGCTTAGCGTCGACTATCTCAACTTAGCTTAGCTTATTTCATACTAGCTTAGTTCAGTTTCATCTTAGCTCCGGTTTATCTTAGCTTAGCTTACGTTATCTTAGCTCCGTTGAGCTTTAGCATCGCAAAGCACAGCATAGCATAGCGTAGCATAGCGCAGCACAACGTATCATAGCCCCGCATAGCATAGCGCAGCGCAGCATAGCATAGCATAGCCGAGCAGAGCAGAGCAGCAAATCAAAGGCAACACAACAGCAGCGACAGCAAAGCAAAGCACACGCAACGCAAAGCAAAGCAAAGCATTAACATTGGTGTAATCCCACCAGCCCTCTGGGCGTCGGTGGTTTAGAGCGTTTCCTCTTCCACCCCTCCTTCTTCCCCTTCGGGGAGGGGTTTACCCCTCCCCCTACCCCCTCCCCACTGACCTGGACAGGGGGTTCCGCGGCGCGTTGGAGCGCCCAAGATGGCCCAAGACGGCTCCAAGAGGGCCTCAGGGAGCCCAAGATACCCTCCAAGATGGCTCAAGATAGCGCAAGATGCCTCAAGATGGTCCCCATGATGTTCCAAGACGCTCCAAGAACTCCCCAAGACGGTTCCAAGTGCCCACAAGAGCATCATTAGGATGCATCCAAGAAGCCAAAATGCTTCAAAACCCTTGGGAAAATCAATGTTTTTGGTGTTCTCACTTTTTCGCTTGCGATGCACATCCGACGCGTCAAGATGGCTCCAAGATGGCTCAAGATAGCTCCAAGAGGGGCCCAAGAGAGCCTCAGGATGGCTCCAAGAGCGGCCACGAGCGCTCCAAGAGCGATCCAAGAGGGGTCCAGGAAGCGATGTTTGGAGCTCCTGGGGGGGGACTGTAATTAGGGAGCCCCGCTTCTTTGATCGATTTCCTCCACGATGGCCGCAAGAGGCCCCCAGGATGCCCCAAGAGGCCGCAGGATGGCCCCAAGATGGCCCCAAGAGGCCCCCCAAGAGGCCCCCAGGAGGCCCCCAAGAGACCCCCAAGAGGCCCCAAGAGGCCCCCCAGAGGCCCCAAGAGGCCCCAAGATGGCCCCAAGAGGCCCCAAGAGGCCCCCAGGAGGCCCCAAAAAGGATCCCGAACGGCCCACAGAGCCCCCCCCCGAGGCACCCAAGACGCCGAAAAGCCCTTCAGGACGACCTTCTACTCGCCTGGGCGTCGTTTCTGGACGGGTTGGTGGGGATACGCGAAGCGTCCAGAATTCCCTACCTAGGCTCTGCCTAGAGGGCTAGCTTAGCTTAGCTTAGCTGAACATAGAAACTCATTAGCATAGCATAGCATAGCATAGCATATCATAGCATAGCGCAGCATAGCATAGCATCGCATCGCATAGCATGGCTTAGCATAGCACAGCGCAGCATGACAGATCATAGCTTAGCATATCATAGCATCGCATAGCGCAACAAAGCATCGCATAGCATAGCATATCATGGCATGGCATAGCATATCATAGCAACTAATGCTGCTTTCCTAGGGGCTCCAACTTCTAGGCAGGGTCGCACTGGGGTAATTGTTAATAGTTCCTCCTCCCTTCTAATGTTCTCTTTCCTGCCTCTACCTCTTCTTCCTCCTCTACCTCCTGTCCTGCCTCTGGCTCCTCACCTCCTCTACCTCTTCCTGCCCTCGCCGTCCCGAGGGCGTGGTGCCAGCGCCCTCGGGCGGCCTCCGTCCGTGGCGCTCCTCCAAGATCGCCTGTCTGATGGCGACGGCCCGCCAATGCGTTTCAGGCCAGTCGGCCAGAGGAGGCGCCGCTGCAGCGCATCCTGCGGTCGACCCAAGGGCCTGGCTTCCGCTTCGCAGCGCCAGACCACGCGCTCGAAGTCGGGCGCCTCGCTCTTCCCACAGCGGGGGCAGCGCTCCTCCACTGCGGCACGCCCGTGTCGTCGTCCTCCTCCACCTCCTCCCTCCTCTCTGCCCTTCGCCGCCTGCAGGTGCGCCAGCGAGACGAGTGCCCCGGACATCACCCTGGCCGCGTGCGTGCTGCCCTTTGCCAGAAGCCTCGCGGCCTTGCAGCGCCGCTCGTCGTACTGCTCGGACCAGCACAGGTACGAACCGATACGGTTCTGCTCTCGCCACCTCCCAAAAGCATCCTGCGGTCGACCCAAGGGCCTGGTCTCCGCTTCGCAGCGCCAGACCACGTGCTCGACGCCTCGTGGCGCTGAAGAGGAGGGACGCGGATCTGAGCCCGCGTCCCGACTTCGGCCATGACGGATAGAGCTTCAGTTAGTCGAGCATGCCTCTCGTTTCTCGGGCTCGTCCGAGACACAGAACAGCACGTCTGGTCCTAGCTCGACGGGGCAAAAGTGGTTTCAGTTCTTCGCTTGGGGGCCTCGGTACTGTCACCGTCCACGCCGAAGCTTCTGACCTGCTGGACGTCCCAGAGATCAGCCGCGGCACGAGACTGATCTGAAAGCGCAGCATGTGCCCAGATGAAAGCTCCAGCGGCAGAATCCAGTTCCTCGAGCCGCGTCCGGCTAGCCAGGGACCAGGGGGCCCAGAAGGAGCTTCGAGTCTCGTCGGGAGGCCTGGCGGATCGAGGCGAGAGCGACGCGGGGGGAGAGGGGTGTCGGCGCGGGAGCAGAGGTGAGGAGGCGGATGGCGAGGCCGGCTCCTTGGGCGTGTTGGGCAGCAGTGCGCTCCCCTCGCTGAAGAACGCCTTGACGTCGAACGCCTCTCTCCTGGGCGTGGTGCGCGAGGGGCGACGGGGCCGCCGAGGCACGGCTCATCTTTCAAGGGGCCCAAGGACACACAAATAAATACACACGAATAAAAGGATTCCCCATATTTTCCCATATTTTCTGGGTTTCTGTCTTCCCCCCCACTTCCCATATTTTCCCATATTTTCCTGGGAGTCGAGGATTAATTGTGTCTGTGTTTCTTTCCCTCCTGAGCCTCGTCGACCCCTCCTCGTCTTGCAGCAGGGGGCCGGTCCACAGGAGACCCCCCACAGGAAACCCAACCCTGAGGCCCCACGACGTCCGCTGATTTTCGGTGTGGGAACGTTGCGCCTTCCATGGCAGAACCATCGAAACCCAAGAAACCCAGGGCACCCTGGAGGCAAGCAGGGCGTTCCTTGGCATGGGCCCCCACTGTACTCCTCCGCCTCAGCCATCTTCTCCTAACTAGAACCACGCGCGCGCTTGGGTTCTCGCAAGCCCCAGGCCGCGACAAATTCATAGATCCTCTGAAGTAGTTACCCGCCAATGGCTCGAACATACGGTAATTACACCGAAGCGTCAAAAACGCGGGTCAAACAGAGATCAATTACAGACAATGGCACACCCATACAATGCAATGCGAACCGATGCAAAGCAGAGAGGATAATGGAGTGCGCACACTGGTACTGCAATGCAGCGCAGTGCCATGGAAACTAGATGGGAGCGCCATGCAACGAGAAGCATTGTAAGCAAAGACTTTCAAAGCAAACGAAGCAGAGTCGATGCGATGCAACACAGCTAAATGCAAAGCAGAGCAATGCTCACCAGAACAATGCCGTTTGCGGAACCATGCCTGTGCACATCCTTCGGAAAACAACCAAATGAAAAACAATACAATACAATGCACAATGACGCAAGAGGCCGTACGAACCCGAGGGTTCCGGAACCTCGGAGATCCCACTGATAAGGTGTGCAAAATAAGTGGTGGATACCCCTTTTCCGCCGTCGGTAAATCTCCACATGACGCTAGCGCACCAGCTCGTCTTTTTCCTCGTCCCCCTCCTTCTCCTCCCTCTCGCAATCGATCCTCCGACCGGTCGGCCTGCCCTGGCTGCGACCGTTTAGATTGCCACGCCGATCTTTTACGGGGACAAGAGATAACGAATTCCCCCCCCCAGGCTGCCGGGCAATAACTGTCACAGGTAGCCCCTGGTCCATCGGCCACGCGACCGGGACAAGCCATATGTTTTCTAAGTTGGCCTCTGGGGGCAGGATTTGCCCGCTCGCATGCGACGGTAGTTTGGAAGCCACGTCAGGCCCTAATCCTCTGAAGCCTAGAACATTTTCCGTGGGATCTGCATGTCCACCACCAGCTTTTCCTTATCCAACTTAGTGGGATTGTGTTGCTGCTGTTTCAATGCTTTTCTCCCGGCACAGGGTCTAATCTGGCCTACTCTGGACCTGGCGGCACTTTCAGATTCTGGGTTATCGTCTGTTCCCGCATTGTTCCTTTCAGCTCTGCGCTTGCGCTGCCATCTGTCTCATAATCCCTGGGGTGCTAGCGGTGACGCCGCTTAAACCGTATTGGAAACCAATATTTGTTGCCTCTTGGTGCCTTCGGCCCATACCGCCACCCTTCCTGGGTTGTGGATTAGAGGATCCTTGGAAGTTGGTTGGGATATCGTGCAAGGCCTCTCGGGGGCCTTTGGAGCATTTTTGAAGCCTCTGGGGGGCTGGTTTGGAGCCTCTTGGGGCCTCTTTTGGGCCTCTTGGGGGCTTCTCTTGGGCCTCTTGGAGCCTTCTGGGAGCCTCTTTGGGCGGAAGGCTCGTTCCCCCTCTTGGGGTCGTCCTGAGGCCCTCTTGGGCCGTGTTGGGCGCCTCCTGAGCCGTTTGAAGCCCTTTTGGGCCGTCTTGGGGGCCTCTTGGGAACCTC